AAAAAAAAAAAAACTCAAATTTTTTGGAAGTAAAGTTTTCATGATCTTTTCTGTTTTTAATTTTCTGTGCAAATCTACTTATACAAAGAACACTAGGCCCTTCTTACTTTCTTCCTTTCGGATTTTTCAGTTCTAATAGGGAGAACAAGGATAGAATTTTTTGACCTTGTAATAGTCGTGAGTAGCACAGAGCTGCGAATGAGTAATATTTCCTTTTTTCAGTAATCCAGTGACACGCTTGCCGTTTATGATCTGTGTCATCACAGGCAAAGGTCCTATGAAAGATTATTATCTTAGTCGTATTGAAAAGGCTGAAATGCAAAATGTTGTTGTTGTGACCCCTTGGATGAGAGCAGAAGATTATCCGCTGCTCTTGGGAAGTGCAGATATCGGGGTTTCTCTGCATACTTCAACTTCTGGTAATCAGTTTTTCTATCCGCTTCTTCAGTATGATTTATATGTTTCAAATACTTTTTTTCTTGATTAATAGTTTTCTGCAGGTCTTGATTTACCAATGAAGGCATTAGACATGTTTGGAAGTGGTTTACCTGTTATTGCCAAGCGTTTTCCTGCCGTAAATGAGCTGATAAACGAAGGCATTAATGGTTGTTTATTTGATACTTCGACGGAACTTTTCAACATCCTCAAGTCTTTAGCATGCGGTTTTCCACAACATTCAACAGTTAATCGGCTTCACTTTAATTTTTGAATTTTACTTTCAGATATTGTTGATTATTACACTTGTAAGATCTTTAGGGTTTTTTAGCCGTTAACAGTTAAAGTTTTAACTAATTTTTTTTTTACAGCAGCTAAATACCTTGGCTTTGAATGTTTCAAAAGAGCCTAAAATATCGTGGGATGTAAACTGGGACGCCTGCGTATGGCCTTTGATACGAGGTTCCCAGGCTGGCTTGTCGGATAAACGAGCGCATCGTGAAAGGTATCTTGTACGACTGAATATTCTTCTTTCTGAAGGCATTTCTCAGCTGTTCATGTTTTTTTAGCTTAGTTATTAATTCCCCTTGAACGCTGATAGGCTGACTGTAGAAAAAGATCATTATTTCCCCCGATTGGATTCTGCAAAAAAATCTCGAGAAGTATATTCTAAGGGTGTCTCACTTTGGGCCCATCTCTGAACGTTTCAAAATTTGCTGGGCCTGCTACTTGTGTTTTTTTGTTCATAAAGTTTAAATTGATGTCTCTAGTGTGCAGATTTGTAGTGAACGTGTCCTCCTAAGGTCGTTTTTATTTGTCATACCTCCTTCTTCAGTTATGTGGCTACTAAAGATGGCAAAAGCAACTCAGACACCTGTAAAAAAGAAGTGGATGAGAAGAAACTTGACAGAGTTGAAGAGAACGTGAAAACCGTTGCTACAGGAAAAGAAATTCAGTCGGAAACTTCAGAAACTAATTTGCAGGAAATGGATGCAGAAAATAATGCATTTTGAAAGAAATGCGAGTAAAGTCGTTTTAGTTGTTCATTTAATCAGCGGACACTGGTAGCATCTTTCTTTTTTTTTTTCTGATGTTATTTGGTAATGAACATGAGCTTTCTTTTTTGAGGATAACAATTTTGTCACAGGGCTAGACACTTTGCTAGCCCGTAAAGGTTATTTTTTGTTCCGGGCAAATTTCCAGCAGTTTGTACGTCAAGTATTTTTATGATGACAGTTATGACTTTCGTCTCTGCATGAAAATTATTATGAGCTTTGCTGAATGGCTTCTACTTCAAATTCCTCTGGCCCCTTCCTGCCACTTGTTTGTTTTTGAAGCACTCATGGTAGCTTCTAAACTCGTGATACCAATTAATAAAACGGAGTTTCCTGTAGCATGGGTACATGAAGTCTTAACTACCAACTACTCGTCAGACAGTAGGAAAATTTTTCAATACCTCTTTGCCCTCTGGCTCCTTGTTCTGATTTTCTTTTCGTGGAACTCTGGTCTTTGGGATTTACCAACAGAGGCGTGCAAGTTTTGCGGGGTTTCATTCAAACCTGTGAGCGCTTTGGCATCTGACTATTAACAGTGCTACTGTAACAATTGCTTCTTTCATTTACTATCAAAACTATCTTCAGGGG